TTTAAAGATGTTACTCGCGATTTTTCCAGCATTTCGTCGGGTAGATTTTAGAGCGGACGGAGCCTTGCAGCCATCTTATTCCTCGCACATGCGCATCCAAGAAGCTTCTTCAGCTCTAGCTGAATGGTGGAGAATGGAAGGATTTATATTCCTTGCAGACAGCTAGTCATTTGCATTTTTTTAGGGAGCTGTTGAAGCCACTGGAGGTTTATCTATGTCCTCAGAGTCACCTGATTAGTGCAAATTGAGCCTCTTTGGAACTGGAGATAGATGATATTATATCCCTCCCCCTCTGTTGAGAAAGGGCTGTTCAATCTTAACATAGATGGTCTCTGACCCTTCTTTCAAACCAGCGGTCCTCTCTGTCCAAAATGTGGACTTTGTTATCTTCAAGAGAGTGGCCTTTGTCTTTTAAATGCAGATGGACTGCTGAATCTTGTCCTGGTGGGTTTGTTCTGCTATGTTGTGCCATGTACTTATGAAGTGGTTGTTTTGTTTTCTCAATGTACAGGCCTGCACATGGCTGATGCACTGTACTGCATAGACCATGTTGCTCAGTTTGTGTCTGGGTGTTTTATTCTTGGGATGGACAAGCTTCTGCCTTAGTGTATTCTTGAGTTTAAAGTGTGCACATTATGTTGTGTAGGCTGAAGATCCCCCTGAGCTTTTGAGATGCTCCTGCAAAGCAAAACATCTTCAGATATTCCTGAGAAGCAAAACATCTTCAAAGAAAAACAAGAACGTCCAGTTGCCTCTTGAAAAAGCACTTTTGAGACAACCATGACCTGAATGACTGAGAATCTCCAGAGAAAACTAGATAAGAATGGATTTCCACACTAGTTTTAATTTTGGTTTAACTTGTAAACCCAGCCAGTTTTGCTTAATTTGATAAGTGGTAACTGATAAAAAATTGGCTGTAAATTCATACAGATTCATTAAAAAGTTAAGTAACTTTGACCACATTATCATCTTAATTTAATCAGAAACATTGCTGTTGTTATTTGCAGAGGGAGAAAAGAGGGAAGTCTGGATTTGGATCAAGATGGTGACCAAGGGCTAAACTGCCTTTCCAGTCGGTTATATTAGCTTGACTCTTTAATAATGCAAATGTTAAAAATGTGAATAGGGTCAGTTTTGGAAATGTTTTTACCTACCATCTGTACACATAGTCCTTCACTTACAACTAGTATTTTAATGCCTGTTCAGTTATGACAATCTTGGAAAGGGTGCTTTATGGGTCCTAAGCACTTCCAGATGTTGTAAAACATCACATCGCCTTCCTCCCTCTTGGTCACATGAGCATATTTTGAACATTTACAACTGGTGAAGTATCATGCAGTCACATGATTACAATTTGCAGTGGTTTGGGCCAATTTCCTGTGGTTTTTTGCTAGTTTCCAAGGGAATGGGTTCACATTTATAACCTCATGATTTACCACCATCATAAAAAGAGTTGTAAAATCAGATCCAGCCACATGGATGCCTTAACTTACAACCATCATAACTTACAACTGAAATTATGGTTCAAATTTTCTACTTGTATATATCTTTACTAATGACACCACTAAGACTGAATTATTTCTATTTCAATGAGGTTCTTCAGTTATATATAAAAGTTAATACTGGTAGGATTTCTCTTAAATCAAGCTTGATTTTTGATTGCTATATAAATATATAGATATTATTTTCCTGGCAACTGCACGTAAACAGATTTCTAGTGGCTCCTGCCCAGATTTTTTACATTGCTGAATTTGTCTAAAACCTTATGATTTCCTGATAGACTTTGATGTAATTTATTGACCAGTTTAACTTTGTTTAGGTATAGTAGATGTTGCCTTTATGAGAAGGAAGCAAGGAAATCTATAAGAAACATAACAAAGCACAAGTTTATACACAGCATGAAAATGTACAGTAATTGTAAAATGACGTTTCTTCATTGCCTGCAATAGATAAGTGAGATTCCTTCACATCTATTATTGCATAAATAATAAAGGAGCAGTTGTATCGTTTGAGAAAATGACTAAAGCAGTTTTCAGAGTTTTTTTCTTATAAAAGTTAGCCCAGCTTATAACATAATAATCATTATGTTATGGTTCCAGCCTTACCTAAAGCCAATGCGTAAACTGGAAAGAGAAAGAGTCACAACATGTCTCACTTAGAAGATGTTCCAATTAGGTAAGCAGGCAGGTTTATAGTTTGGTGACTGCAACACAGAATACTGGTTTGAATGAAGCCTAGTTTACCTATACCATAGCTCGCAGGTTGAATGTGTCATGTGCTGGCCACGGCCAACGTCCAGTTTAGCAAAGGGGAGGGGGAGAAGTCCCGATACATGATGATGTGAGTTTGACAGCCGTGCCATATATAATAGTTATTAGAAGTAAAATACTTCTCATAACTCAGCTCATACTATGGTATGCGTTGAATGCTTTCTTGAATGTGCCAGTTAATCTAAACTTATATTGTTACAGACTTGATTCTCAAGTCTCAATAGCAATTTGTTAGAATTATGTCCAACATTTTCTTTAGGCCCTCAAGGCAGCACACATAATATTCCAATTTTTCCATAAAACAGCTGCTCTTTGAAGTGTGTTGGACTGAGAGAAATCATTTATGTATCCCAGTAAACCTTGATTAAGGATAGAATCTGGATCTTTTCTGCATCAAACCAACATTTGAGCTTATACGCTATAAACCATTCAAGTAATATATGACAACACTATGGTTCAATTTATGTTTCATATTAATCAATAATTAAACTTCTGGAATTTTGTTCTTTTGGGTTTTTTTTCTTGTTTATAAAGTAAAATTGCAATCACCATAAATCATAAGAAAATGCATGTACTGTACAATAATTTTGAAGACTGAGAAATGATAAGATCTTAAAATTTTAGATGTTCTTTGAACATAAACTTTAATTAAAAATCTTTAAACCTCTCGCATTTTAGTCAGCCAGGTGTCAGTTAATTCAAAGACATGAGTTTCCATAAGAAATTATCTTGTTTTGAAATCATACACTAATATTTTTTTCTGATACACTGCTTCCTTATGCCTTATTTATCCAAAATTCACACTGTAAACTTCCAAAACATTTCCAGCTATTTTAAGACATATTGAAAGCTCAATTGCTTCTCTTTCATGGTAAGTACTGTAATGTACTTAATCCTGAATCATAACTTTAATAAGATCACTCCTAACACTAATGCATTATTTAAACAAATATGCAAATCATTTGAGTTGAAAATACTGTATCGAATTCCTTCTTAAGCATCAAAGCAACATTTAAGATGAAGTACCATTGCTTTCCTATTCTCCACCATCACCATAACAAGCTATGTTTTCTTTTTCTTGAATGCTTCAAACTTGATGAAATTAGTAAAAGTGTGTACAGAATTGGCAAAGAGGATCCTTGCAAAATAAAAATTCCAGTGCTCAGGTGAGCTACTCCAGACTTCAAGAAACACACCATGCTGGCGAGAATTGGAAATGTTTTATTGTAAATACCAAAAATATTTATTTTTGAGACCAAATTTTCCTGGTGTACATGAAATGTTTATTTAATTAAAGGCATTTTTTCACAGAATGAAATGGCTAAAAAAAAACCCTAGATTTTTATTTATTGATGAAGTATTTTACTTTGAAGCCCTTTGGGGATTTCTAAGGAAGACCAGCTAGGCACTAAATCAATTAGACACAAAAGGATCATGCAAAGAATAGAACAGAATGCATAGAAGAAGGGCTAAAAGACAAAATGTATTATGACACCATTGTTGCCATTTAGACAGTCTTTAATTCTCAAGTATTTGGGTAGGAGGAGAGAGGAGAAAGAATTGATTTTCTAATTTCCTACATGAATTATAGCAATAAGAAGTGCACTTCAATCATCTTGTGAAAAACTAAAAGTGCACCTCTGTGAGATGGTATTGTACGATTCTACCAACTTCACATGTTCATGTCCTCTATGAGGCAATTTTCTTGTTCTTGTTTTATGTCATATTCGTTTTCAAGTGTTCAAGAGATGCTTGCCAGAGAGGGGTCTTATGAGCATTTCCCACATGCTATTCCACTTCTTTCTCAAACAGACCAAATGGAAAAGGAATGAACTTGCCTTAACAGCAGTTTGAATAATACTTAGTGCTTTCTGAGGTGATCTATAGAGTTTGTTTAAGGTATACCCATTCCCCAGAAGGGCAGCAGCATCAAGTAATGAACCTTATAAAGAAACTGGAATCTGAGGAATAGGATGGTTTTCCTCCCACATCTCTTTCTAACTTCACCCTGAGAAAAGGAATATATGAGTTAGACACAAATGGTCTTTTGATATTCTCAAATTTTTGGGAAGCAAAGCTGGATGGACAATTTCTCAATACCAGTACACCTATTTAGCAATGAAATGCTGCCAAAGAAAATATCCAAATATCCTTTCAAATATTTCCTCAGAATTCATGACTGATTTTCTGATTGATGGAGAAATTATTATAATAATAAAAAACAAAACACTTTGTCTTGGTCACTTTATAACCAACTAAGTGAAAATTAACACACTAATGACACATTTATCTTACATTATTTTCTTCTTTGAAATGATTTCCATAACATTCTCTCCTTCATTAATGAGAATACACTAAAAAAATGCAAGAGAATTTCTCTGCTTTCCATTGCTTTTATAACTTTCCACAGTTCCTCTGAAGTATCACAGTTCAGAAAGTGTCACATGAAAAACCTATGTTTCAAACATTGCATAAAAAGACCATATCAAATATTCAGTTTCAGATGAAACTATCAGTTTGAAAGCTTCATTTGGCCAGAATAATTTTGATTCTTGCAGAGAAATCACAGAATCCCCATAATCCTCTTTGGAAGTTTGTAGCAGGGTTTAGGTTGTTAATATTGCTAATTTGTAAAGAATTCTCAAAGTTTAACAACATTTTAGACATGTGAGAATGTAATTCCCAAATCTCCCCCCAAAAGGCCTAACAAAGTATGTAGCAAGGTTCCAGAAAATAATTTTTTAAAAGGCCTTCAAAGAATTTTTATATATAATTCTATAAAGATAAATAGGAAGATATACTTTCAATCAAATGCATCTTGATCTGAGTTACATATAGATACCTAATGAAAATGCCATTTGCTAGGAAAGTAACTAATCCTGCAATAACAAGATATCAACATTGTCATGAACTCCTTGCAAAAGCAGTTCTCCAGGATAACTAACTATCTTTCGTCGTTTTGCAGCTTTCAGGGTTCCCACTAAAGCCTCAAAAAGGTTGGCACATTTCTCATCCGCAAACAGCACTCCAAACTTCACACTCAATGTCCCATCAGGATCTGGACAAAAGAAAGCATGAGGATGAAATGACATATTAACATTGTAGCTCCCAATATGTCTTTGGACCTGGAGATTTTCAAGTTTTCTAATTTCATTTAATAAGGTTATTGTATCCGTAGCCAAATTCATCACAATGTAAATGTGAAAATACAACTAATATGTTAACTTTTAAACAACATATACTCGGAGGCACAAATTGATAAAAATATTATTAAATCCAAATCCATTAGATCAAATAGTAAACTATATCAAATGAGTAATCTCTGCAACATTATTTAAGATTTGCTGACACTGCTGAAGAAGGTATCAAAAATCTTTAACTTATGGTTGAAAAAAACCCACATTTTAACACTTCTTTTAAAAAAAGTTACTGTTCTAGTTTTATATTTTTAATCACTGAAAACTGAAACTATATGCTGAATAATAGTCATATGAAAATCTGGTATCATTTCGGCCCAAAGTAACTCAAGGTAGTTATGATTAATACTGACTGGCTTCATATTAGCCATGGTTTATTGAATAAACCACAACTAGATATGTTTTCCTACATGTTAAATTATAAAAATATTTTACAAATAGTAATTTGCATGACATACTAAGCTGAAAGCAACAAAAAAATCCCTTGTTTTTTAACGTGTTGTGATTAGTGAACATGAATATCACCTAAAATTAAAGTCAATGGGGAAAAAATAAGATTGCATTTAAATGCCCTTTCCAAAAAGGCACACTATTATAGTGAATTTACAAACTGCTACTTAGGTTGTTGATTAAAACCTAAACTTACATTAGCAATTTGAACTGGAAGCAACATGCACATAAGAATCTAGTATTATTTTAAAAGCGGGAAAATTATGAAAAAAAATCCAGTGACTTAACTGGGAATCAAATATAGTTTTCATCTGCTACATAAATTGTAACCTAATTAATTTTCAATGAGTAAACAAAGATAACATGATGTATCAACATAAACATCATATCTCACTGTTGCCAAGTTTCCACATGCAAGTAGGCATCCCCTCAGAAAATATTGCTGTTTTCCATTAAATTATTATCTATGTCACAAGTAAAGTGTGCATTAGAAGCTATGAGTGTATGGGAAACTTGGCACCGGTTTTCAGAAGCACAGGGGGCCCTTGAAAGAAAATTGGCAGTCTGGTTATTTTATATAATGCTATTAGAACTAGAGATGCATGCTGTTGGCTTAAATAGTACGGGGGCTCCCATGCTATTCTTATTGTCTATTTAGTAATTAATATTTATATCCTGTTGGTGTTGGAGAAGTCCTCTGGACTTGGATAGCTAAGAACAAACAAATTGATCATCAAACCAATTAACTCAGGGTTCAAGGTTCTCATAGGTTTCAAATTATCTTACTTTGGAATCATTATGGGAAGACATAGCTCTCTAGAGAAATCTATAATGTTGGGAAAGATAGAAATAAAGACAGAAAGAGGATGGCTTAATTAAAGTGGTCATAAATGAACCACTGAAAGACCAGAAGAGCCAGATTGGGAACAGGAGAAAATATTGTCACTAAGAATTGGCACCAACTTGATAGGACATAAATAATAATTTATATTCTGTAACAAATTTATCAGACTGGCTTGAAGCAAAAGCCATAACCACTTCCTTTAACGTTTGAACGGTTGCCAGAAGTTTACTGAACTCTTTATTGATTTTCATCCAATCTATTCCATGTTTTAAGAATAAAATCTTGTATCTTGACTTTTATACCTTACTTTTCAAAATGGGGCTTTTTCTGCAGATTTTCCTACATTGCAGATTTTTCCCAATACAGTGCCTTCTGGAAATATTGGACCAATATGCATTGGAAATTATGTCAGTTATATTCTATCACATTTGGAGACTATTAATTTTATATTCCTTCTACAGCCATTTAGTCATACTCACTTTTGGTCCCCAGCCGTCGAATTTCTTCAACTAACAGGTTGATTTCATGTTCCACATTCATTGTAACCTACAAATAAATGATTGTTGCCTTATAAATTTGTTCCTTTCTGTTTTCTTTCATATTCAAAACAAATACTAAGACTTTAAAAGAAGTTTCAAGTGCACATAATGAATGCATGTTGGGGCGGGGTCCTTTTTATCAGTTCACATTCTCAAAGAGACAGTTATCTTCCTTATTAAGTTGGTTATGTATTTGGAAGTCAGATACATTGCTACACATTCTGCAAAGGAGTGTCTTAAAATGAATGTGGTACCTGCATATGTAAAGCATTTACTCACATTAAAAATCCTAGCATTTAAAATGCCTTTATATTACGAAATGTAGCAAAAGGGGCTGTTCTGTACATGAATAGTTATAACAGTTAAAGTATTAGAGTTCTTTGAAAAGCACATGATTCTGCATTTAACATAATTCTTCCCTCTCTCTCTCCCCTAAATGGAGATTTGACAAAAAACCCTTATCTGCCTCTTTGGCTGTTTGCAGACCAAATCTAAGATTATTTTTCTACTTTAAAGTATAACTCATTTGGGAAAAAGAACTACCGTACCCTACTTTTCATATAATAATTGTTATATTTTCATTATTGGCCTTCTGCCAATTACCTCCCTGCGTCCCATCAGATCGCACAGGGTAGGCCTCCTCCGAATTCCATCCGCCAGTCAGTGCCGGCTGGCGACTACGCGGAGGAGAGCCT